TGCATCCCTTTAATAAATATATATCTATTTACAGTATATAGATATATATATCTATATACTGTAAATAGATATATATTTATTAAAGGGATGCAGACATGTATATATATATGTATATATTACATTTTTCTATTGAGTTACATACATCAGACTAAAAAAAGGGACACTTCAAGGGGAAAGTGGGACAGAGGAATTTGGTTTCAAAAGAGTGACATCCCCTTTAAATGACAGACAGTTGGGAGGTATGCAGCACGCCTGCTATTATCTTTATTATTAGCCAGAAAATACTTTGTGTTCCTCTCTGGTTTAATTTCATCTTGTTCCTCGGGCCTGAATCTTTCGGAGGCTTCATTGCTAAGCTCCAACATCCACCCCCTATCCAATGGGAGTGCACCTTCCTTGCACCTAAGACAGTCTCACTGTATAGTGAAATTGCATTATTAGGGCTTAGTCATGATGCCAGGCCCCAATAATGAAGCAAACTAAGTCAGCGGGGGCACAAAACAAGTGTTTCTTTAAAGAAAGGTAATAAGAGGCTTCTTGTGATTGTTTTAGGTTTGGCTTTACTTTTTAAGTAAAGTTCAGGTTTATTTTAATGATAGCCAGTAAGATTTAGTCTTTATTTGATCACTCATCCTAAATGAGCCTTTCACCCTATCTAAAACATTTTTATTCTTTGCTCATTAACTATCCATCTTTTTAGTATAGTATAGACTTGTAAGAGACTTACCCGCAAACTAGTCCCTGCTCAAGGTTCCAGGCAAACATGCTTAGGCACATAGACATGTGCGGACGGTAACGTACATGCACAATAACGTACATGCACTGGCGCACACTCGTTAGCGGGCTATTTGTCTATTTAAATGGACAGGAGCCATGATCAAGTTGCTCAGTAGTCATCAGTTGTCCCTGCGTGCCCTGCGTTCTACACCTACTTTCCACCTCATTCTCCCAATTTGGTACCTCAATTCTCTCTGCTCTTCTGTGTATGACCCTGGCTTATGATTGCTGACCTTGTGTGTGGGATGAGAGGTGCATGGGTAGCCCCCTTCTCAGTTGGGTCTCCATTCAGTAATGTGATAAGACCTCTAATGTTCTATTTAACTAATAAAAGTGTTATAATGTAAAACTTTTAATCTAACCTAAATTACTTCATTTTGCAAAATTGTGAATGTATTTAATAGGAATGGAGAGGAGAGGAGAGGAAAGGAGTGTTGATGAAAACATTGGTAAACTAAGTTTAACAATATGGAACACTTTCATTAACATCTAACTGCCATTTCTCTTTCCTTATCGCAGTGTATTTTCTTTGTTTTGCATGCCAACACTGGTATAATTAATATTCACTAACATACAGCAGCATCTGTTTGCAATGCCTCTGTGCTGAAATGTTGTTTGCATCATCTCTTAAAAAAAAAAATATCAGTTAACATGCTCATGTGTCATATTTAACACATTTGGAACCATGAAAGAGGATGCAGACAGAGTGTTTAAGTGGCCATCTGACATTGCTGTAAGATGAACTGCTTCTATTGAAAATTAGGCCCACATATGGTTGCCTTAAACCTACCCTACTATTTATCTGTCTTTATTTAGTCTGATCTTTAGCTCAAAGTATATTATTTAGTCTGATCTATATTTCCAGACACAGTTAACTCAATGTTTTGACGAGACCGATCCATGGGAAGGAAAATACGATAAAAAATGATCTGCTTGTTGCTGCCAAACGACCAACGGCAACACCTGTCACACAATTCTCACCCCATTTGGCAGCTAAATGCCCGATGGAGGCCTGATTATTCTGCAGAACACAGATACATCTGTTAACTGGGAAGTGGCTGATTGGAACACACCATACACATACAGCCTATAATTATCTGGGATCATCTATCAAGTTAATGAGCAGTATGAATTTAAAATGGGAAGCGGTCAAGGTGGCAGGGGGAGGTTTACTTTGTAATCAATACAGTAGAGAATGCAGCTAATAGATATGTTTTCCTGGATATATACCATCAGATGTTATTTGAATAAACCCTGTGTCCCCCTCACCTCGCCTTTCAGTTGCAGAATGATATACTAAGCTGGTAGGTGATTCTCCGTACTTGCACTAACCTGGCAGCATGCTAAGTAATTAGCTAGTAGGTTGTCTCCATTGCAGCGCTGGGGTCCTGGGCTTTATTCCCCCCTAGGGACGCCATCTTTTTGGAATTTGCATGTTCTTGTTTGTTTCTGCTGGGCACTGCATTATTCTTTCACAGTATAAAGCACAATAGGAGGATAACTGGTGTCTGACAAAATGATCAAAACCTACATTTTGTGCTCATCAAAACGTTTTAGGTAGTCTACTTCCATATAGTGCCAAGAAAGCCCAATGGATAGTGTTGCAGAAGAAAGCCAAACCACTGTTTTATATGGAGTAAATATAATCCAAATCTGCTGATCGTATAATCGGATATATGTGGCACTTTAACAACAGAAGGAAAGTGCTAAATTGTTTACAGTTTAAGGACATATACTGTATATACTATTTTGATCTCTTATGGAAAGAAACAAATAAAAGCAAAACTCCAATCACAAATAAGATAAAAAAAATAATTGTCCATTAAAAGGTAAAATAGCAATCACAGCTTTAGCTGCAATACTCACCTTCAAAACACAGAGATTTCGCCCACAGTACTTTTTTTTTGCCTATAGATGTCCTTGGTCTATTGGCCAGCATCTCTTAACCCACTTCCTCCATGCCCAAGTCAACTTGTACCTACCCAGACCCCTTAGGCACCCGAACTTCTGTAAATTTCCAGCCATAACAAGCCAGCAGCGAGTAGGATAGGTAAGAGTTTGTCATGACTTTTCTCAGGACCAAACGATACCTTTCACACATTCTTGTTTATTACCGCTCTACAAGGTTAGAGAACCTGACGGAGAATAGGCAATGATAACCAGTTCTGTAGACTGACTGAAGCCATGTCCAAAGGCCGCAACAATAGTCACAGCTGTTATGAAAGTCAACAAGTCAAGGTCAAGCTTGGATGTGCCCCACTTGCCTCTTGTGTCCATAACTATGATAAGCAGCCCCCCTGACCAATATTGAAGCATGGGAGATGGGAGGGTTTTTTGTATGCTGAATACAAGTTTAATACAAAGGGAACCTATCACAGTTTCTGCTACATCACATAGCCAGGGCTGTCATTTAGTGTGTGAAGCTGCCAATGTTAGAATGCATTATTAGTTTACTGTTTGGTTTCACTTGTTGCCTGGAATTGCACTTTAAGTATTTCTGCAAAATCTACCTCCTTGCTTATTCATAGTGCAAACGAATTATTATTCAAGTCACACAATGGTCTAGCGTTATGATTTAATGACAGAAATGTACACCGAAGTCAACACAAAAGATAAACGGCCTTGCTTGTAATGCTGCATTGCATTCCCTTCGCCATAAATTATACCAAAGGAGACTCGAGGCAAACTGCATACAGTCAAAACTGCGTTAGTTTACCAAATCTGGGGTGTAGCATTTATAC